CCACCAGCCAGGACCCCAGAACACTTTATACAAGGCAGCAAGCATATTCCCATTATCACTGGCATATCTTATTCCCCTAACTTTTCTGTTTTCTTTAACAGTTACCACCATCTGGCTTTCTATGTTTTATATGTGTATATTGTCTATCCCCCTGCTTAAATGACAGTTTTATGAAAGCATGCTTTTTTTCTTTTTATTCTTTTATACCTAGAGCTTAATATTATGCTTGCTACTATGCCATACATATTTGTTTATGGAATGATGGATAAATGAATGCCTGTTGGGGCTTGAGAATCCCCTCTTCCTGTTTGCCAAATCCAGCATACTCACCTACTCGTTCTCTAGTATTTTTATATGGTTACTGTATTTTCCAAGCCCCAATTTAACACATGTCATCTAACTGGTGGGGAAATATCTTTTATTTGAACTCTCTTGGGAAATCCAATGTGCTTTTTAAGTATATTCTACACAGAATCATAGAGTCAAAGAATGGAGTCCTCAAAGGAAGCTTACATAATTATTTTCTAGTTTAATAGCCTCTGATAGTGGAATTAACTTTTCCAAAGTCATTATGTTTAGTTTAAAATAAACATGAGTTGAAGTTTTGTTTTTCAGAGCTCTTGTTTGGGATTATTGAGAGTACTCAGAAATTATTGGAAACTTCTTCAGTAATTATCTGGCCCTGTCTTTTCTATTTACTGCCCACAGGTACTTGCAGACTACCCTGTGGGTCCTTCATCATTTCTATCCAGTGAGACTTGTTTGGACAACTGAGTAGAAATCTCTCAGCATATGCTAGGTATGTCTTTGTTTTCTCTGCATGTTTCAAACATAAGAAATTGTGAAATAAAATGATAATTAAAACTCACCACTTGTACGTAACCACTTCTATATCTTGACCCTTATTATACAGTGAAATAAAAAAAATCACACACTTGATTTTATATAGGTGATTACAGTTATAATCAGATGTCAGTGGAAGACATCTGACATAGAGATGTTACTTTCTCATATTCATTGAGCCTAAAGGGCCTTCTAAGGTTTATTCATATGCCTCCAAGCTATAACTGCCTCCAATTTTTCTCCTTTTGTGATGAATGGTTTGCGAATGGGAAATGCATGTTCAAATGTAAAAGGTGTATTCTCATTTGGTTCTCCAGTGCTTCTTGCTCTTAAAATTATGAAAGCACAAATGGATGGAAATACTAATACAGGATACAGAGGGTTAAATACACCAAAAAAACATCAAAATTCCTCATCAAATGAGCTTAATACATAATTAACAACCTGGGTTTCTGGGTTCTGGTGCTTTCAGGCATTATTCTCATGGGCCAATTTCTCACTTGCTCGACGAAGATGAGGCTAAGCTTCATCATTTTGCAGAGCTGAGGCAGGGCCTGAGAAAGATCTTCCCAGGATCCTCTCTTTTATAAAACACTGCTCCCACCCTGGTTTTATGTCAAGCTCCAGAAAATGGGGGTATAAGGATATTTTCCCAGATCCTTTGTCCCCACTGGAAGCAAGCACATTTTGATTATGATGTTTACATTTGAATCTATATCATTTAAATACAGTAAATGCTCACATCCTTTGTGTCCTTGAGAGCACTGGCCACGATATCCAGCATAGAGGACTCAGGAAATCATAATATGAAGCAAGGAGCAGATGCTCAGCAAATACTTGATTACCAAGAAGATCAATATAAAGTGAATTAGTAAATTAACAGTGAAGCAGACAATTTGTACTAGAGGTTTTTAACCTTACAGCCAGCTTATTGACACCATAGGTCATGCCTCCAGATCTCATAGGAGTAATATAGCTTTATGAGTTTCTGGCTATGCTTTGAGATCAGCAGCCAGACCAGTGTATTGCACTAGTAGGTGATCAATCAAATCTAATAGACCAAGTTTATGGGTAAAATGAGAGGAAAGCACTTTGGCTTTCATAACTTTTGAATATAACTGTCATCCATATGTTTTGAATCTGGTATGGATGGGAGTGGCAAAAGAGGAGGTATATCTCTACTGCTGAAGTGTTCGTTTTAGGCTGCATAGAATAGTCACATAGTGGAGAAGGATAATAGAGAACTGATAAATTTCACTTTAAAATCTTCTTTAAAAAAGAGCAATAAAAAAAAAGCCCTCAAAGGCTTTGAGTGATGAGGTAGCATCAAGAAGGAAATTTAAGCTAGGAAAAGTGAGCACTGGTTAGACCCCTCAACTGTGCATCAGCAAGATTTTTTGTGAAGATTTTATTTATTTTTAAAGAGAGGGGAAGGGAGGGAGACAGAGAGGGAGAGAAACATCGATGCACAAGTTATATCAATTGGTTGCTTCTCACATGCCCCCAACTGGGGACCTGGCCCAAAACCCAGGCACATGCCCTGACTGGGTATCAAATCAGTGATCTTTAGCTTCACATTCCTACATTCAATTCACTACGCCACACCAGCCAGGGCTCAGCAAGGTATTTCTTAATCTTCAGTTTTTATGCTCAGTACTCTCAATGAAGTCTCCTTTATTCTGGAATAGACTGTAAGCAGGCTGAACTATGAAGAAGCAGTGGTGAATGGAGACTGTTTTGGGACATACATGTCTCATAACTGTGTTTTTGAAGGCAGAGAATGGAAATCCCATGAGGGTCTCATATTATTTCAGCTATGATTAGAAAGAACAGACAACAATTTTTGATAAATACAGATTATCTAGGTTTGAAAAAAATTTTAATGCAGATTTGAAGTGGTTCTGGGACTGTAGGTCCATACTCTCAAGTGGTCAAAATTGGAACAATGAAGACTTTGGTTTTAGAGTTCCAGCCAAGATGGAGGTGTAGATAGAAATGCTTTGCTTCTTTGCACAGCCAAAAGAAGGATAACAATCAATCTAAGACAATAAACAGCCAGAAGTGCCAGAAAATCAAACTGCATGGAACTCCAACAACCAAGGTGTTAAAGATACATTCACCCAGACTGGTAGGAGGGGCAGAGACTGGAGATGGGAGCCTGAGCAGAAAGAACACGCTGCAAGGCACTGGATCCTGCAGGTGAGGTGGATCTGGCTGAATGGCAAACTAAAGACTCAAGGCTAGCTGTAAACTACCATGGGGGTTGCCATTGCAAAAGAAACTCCTAGTCTCACAAGAGCTAGTTCATTGGAAAGTGGGGCAAGAGCAGAGCAAGGGATTGGCATTGTTCCCTCTCTGACCTCCCCTCCACAGACAGTGCTACAATGAAGCAAAGAGAGTTGCTCCACCTTGATGAATACCTAAGGCCACCCCCTTACAACTTAACTGGTGCACCAAGACAAAGAAACATGGCCCAAGTGAAAGAACAGAGCAAAACTCCAGAAAAAGAACTAAGTGATGAGGAAATAGCCAATCTATCTGATGCAGAGTTTAAAACACTGATAATCAAGATGCTCACAGAACTTATTGAGCTCCATCGCAAAATGAAGGAAGCAATGAAGGCTACCCAAAGTGAAATAAAGCAAAATATGCAGGGAACCAACAGTGAAGGAAAGGAAACCAGGCCTCAAATCAACAATTTGGAACAAAAGGAAGAAATGGACATCCAACTGGAACAGAATGAAGAAACAAGAACTCAAAACAGAGAGGAGAGGCTTAGGAAACTCTGGGATAACTTTAAGTGCTGTAACATCTGAATCATAGGGGTGCCAGAAGGAGAAGAACAAGAGCAACAAGTTTAAAACTTATTTGAACAAAGAATGATGGAAAACTTCCCCAATCTGCGAAGGAAATAGACTTCCAGGAAGTCCAGGAAGCTCAGAGAGTTCCAAAGAAGTTGGACCCAAGGAAGGACACACCAAGGCACATCATAATTACATTACCCAAGATTAAAAAGAAGGAGAGAATCTTAAAAGCAGCAAGAGGAGAGGAAAGAGTTACATATAAAGTAGTTCCCATAAGACTATCAACTGATTTCTCAAGGAAACCTTATAGGCAAGAAGGCCTGAAAGAAGTATTTGAAGTCATGAAAGGCAAGGACATACATCCAAGATTACTCTATCCAGCAAAACTGCCATTTAGAATGGAAGGACAGACAAAGTGCTTCCCAGATAAGGTCAAGTTAAAGGAGTTCATCATCACCAAGCCCTTATTATATGAAATGTTAAAGGGACTTATCTAAGAAATAGGGGAAGATAAAAAAGTATCAACAGTGAAATGACAATAAACTCACAGTTATGTCAAATTGAACCTGAAAAAATGAAAACAAAAACTAGGCAAAGCACTAGAACAGAAACAGAATCAGAGGAATGGACATCACATTGAGGGTTTTCAGTGGGGAAGGGAAGAAAGCAGGGAAGGTACAGAGAATAAGAAGCATAATTGGTAGGCATAAAATAGATGGGGAGAGGTTAAGAATGGCATAAGAAATTGAGAAATTAAAGAATTTATATGTACAACCCATGGACATGAACTAAAGGGGGGAATGCTGGAGGGTTGGGGGATGCAGGTTGGAGGGGGGAGAAAGGGGAGAAAAAATTAGGAAAACTGTAATAGCATAATCCAAATAATATACTTAAAGAAAGACTTTGGTTTTTTGTGGAGAAGAAATACTTTGAACTCTTACTGAGCATTAAAGTAGGACAGTGAGAACTATATATAAATCCAGATTAGTTGAATTTGCAGGCATGGCTGAAAGTTTTTATGGCCTCATTTCTAATCATTTCTTGACTGCATGCTTTCTGATACAAATATTTGTTGAGCTAAGTGCTCACCTATTCATTAATTTATATTGGTCCACTACCAAATTATTCAGAAATTTTAAATTTTGAGTGACTAGGTACATCTGATCATTTCCCACTGGTTTTTTGAGTTCAGGGAGCTAGCTGTAGGAAACTTGTTAACCTATATATGATATCAAGAAATTGTTACTTACACTTATTTTTGTCAGTGAGCCAGATATGCTAGAGTTGACCATGTTGTCAGTGGGATATTAGTCACTTACACAACTTTCTCAAAGTCGTCGGTGTGTCCTGTAGATGGCTAAGGATGGAAAAAGCAGGTAGGGGCATTGATTTTGATACCTCATAACCTAAAGTTGTGGAGGATCATTAAACATTGTCTTTTTAACATAATTGTTCAGTGCTCAATACCAACGGGCTTATACTGGTGTCCATTGGAAAGAGCCTTACTATTTTAGAGAGAAATACACACTGCCAACAGGATGGTATATTAATTGTTAGGGAACAGCAGCATATCTGAAGTCCATTTTAATATCTTCTTAGAAATTTCAGGGCTTTGGGAATGATTCCTTTACATACTGGGTACTCAACAGTCTGTCGTTGCCTTCAACTATCAAAAGTTTATTAAGTATTCACAGAGATGTTAGAATTGTTTTTGAAAAGCTGGAACATTTGACTGAAAGTCTTATGTATATTTTTAGTCATTTGGCCATTTTTATATAGGATGACAAGCAGAGTTACCCATTGTTTGGCATTTTTTGTATTGTTTCCATTAACCATTTAGTACCTTTATACCTCCCTCACCCCATCCCACAATCACCACACAGTTGTCTGTGTCCATGAGTCCTTTTTCTTTTTTGTTCAATCCCTTCACCCCCTAACCTCAGGATGACAGGTAAGAGTGGGGAGGTTAGGGGGTGTTTGGCTCTTTCGTTGATCTTTTTCCGTCATATTTTTGGAACACTTAGTGGTAGGTTAAGTTTTTGGTTTTGCCTTGACTTTTTACATATAGGATGTGGTGGTCTTAATGTAGTGTTGTGGTGCTATTCCTCATAACGCTATTGGACTCTCTCTCTACATTAATGATTTGTTGTCTTACTCTTTCTTTTCACTTAATTTCTGTTAGGGTAATGTTAGGGACCTCACAGGATAATGAGCAGAATTGTTGGAGGCGTCTGGCTTCTCCTGAAGTAGGCAGTATACATAGAAGCGTTAATAAGTAAAGAACTGGGGTTACAGACAAAAAACTATACTTGAAAAATAACTAAATAAAATTTTTAAAAAGTTAAAAAAAAAGAATTGGGGTTGCAGATTTATCACTTAGTGAGACTAATTAAACAGTGCTAAGGCAAAGGTGGGGGGCATGTTTGCAAAGCCTCAGAACTTGTTTGGAGAGTTCTTGGACTGAAGTTCAGAATTCTGTGGGTTCTCAAACTAGAAACGACCCAAATCAGGCAAATTTGGTATACCTAACTTGTGGTTAAATATGTGTCACTTGTGGTTTGAAAGGGAAAGCAGCTGGGGAATAAAGAATGGGATTATTTCAAGAAACTAACCCAATTTAGCTTGTGGAAGGCAAATACCAGGCAATTCATGTTAATTGCAAAATGTAATCAATTGAAGGAGAACATAAAAACAATTCTAGCCAATCAGAATAAAAAAGTGCTAGACCAGGGGTGTCAAACTCATTTTCACCGGGGGGCCACATCAGCCTAGCAGTTGCCTTCAAAGGGCCGAGTCTAATGTTAGGACTGTATAAGTGTAACTACTCCTTAACAGTTAAGTGAGAGCTCAGCACTGCTGCTGGGGAGAAACAAGGTGCTGGGCCAGATAAAGCAAGGTGGAGGGCCGGATTTGGCCTCCCGTCCTTGTGTTTGCCACCGGTGTGCTAGACTGTGATTATAAAAATGTTTACTTTACAATGGGAGGGAGGTGGGGAGCAAGGGGCGGGGGAGGCTGGGATGGGAGAAATAGACAAAAAAAAACTGCACTTGAAAAATAACTAAATAAAATTAATTTAAAAAATGTTTACTTTACAATCTGAATTCCATGTAGTTTGGAGCACAGACAGATCTCACACTCACTTATGTAGGTGTCATAATTAGCCCTGAGTAAAATGCCTTTTACTTACTTGTCCATGGATGGCTAAATATGTCCTGAAGTTGTTCGATAATATTCTCTGGAAAAGAGAGTATGAGACCTAAGGCCTGCCAGAAGTTGTTTCATGTGATTTTCTCATTTGCCCATTTTGGTGGTCCAGTTATACTACAAGTCTTCATTGACAGTACTCCTCAACCCAGATGACTTAGGGAATCTACTAGTGATTCTACTTTAGACAGGTGAATATGAACATAATTGGGGGTGTGATGAAAGCAGGGATAAAGGTCCTAGAGATGATGTTGTTTAGTACATAAATCACCCATGTTGACCATAACCAGTTTTCCTCTAAGCCATACAATGATGCATTAACAAATAGAAAGTAAATAAGGACTTAGTAAGAAATTTATAGGCCTTTGAGTGGCAACTTGTTTTCCCCCCATTATAATGGCCAAAGGACACCAGGCCATTGCCTTCTTTCCTTTTTCACCCTGGGAATTTTTTCAGTCTGCATGGATTATAATGATCTCGAAATTTGGGCATGTCTCCATGGGAACAATGAAGCCAACATTAGAGCCAGTAGGAAATTCTCCACTCATCATATGTAGTAGGGTGTTTTTTGTAAATCTTTTATACTATGTGTTTGCTTGTTCAGTAGTACAACATAATAATCACAGTCTTGAACTGAGTCTCAGTCATCATTTTAACCAATTTTCAAAATTAATCCTAATGCAAAATGGCTATCTCTAGCTCCTAACATTACACTCGGCCCTTTGAAGGCAACTGCTAGGCTGATGTGGCCCCCCGGTGAAAATGAGTTTGACACCCCCGGTCTAGCACTTTTTTATTCTGATTGGCTAGAATTGTTTTTACGTTCTCCTTCAATTGATTACATTTTGCAATTAGGATTGATAGTTTTTTATATTCTTGCTCAGCATGACTTTAAAGTTTTAATTGCCTGGCACTATCTTGAAAATCAGGATTGCTTAGAATATACCAGGTCATCTTAGCTTGTGGGAGCTAGAGATAGCCAATTTTTTGGTACATGCTTTAACATGGGATAGAGTGTGTGGACTCCCCTGGTTCCATATGAAATATAGGAACATAACTGCATTTGGAAGGAGGTAGATAAACTATTAGTGGCCTGTGTATGAAGTCCTATAGATTCTGGGACTTAGGTTGAGGACCACATAATGCCTCCTATTTTCTTATTCACTTATTGACAGAAGGATTGGCATATTGCATGCATAGACTTGTGACACTCTTCATCATACTCTTCACTTATGTATTGAAGATCTTTCAAGTGTTTAATGATTTCAGTTGAAGTGGGGAAATTAATACAGAATTAATCTAGTATTGTAGTGGAAAAGGGATTTAGTATATGGGGATAGAGTTTGAGTTCTAGCCAGTCATTTCTCTGATAGATTAAATAATTTTTCTTGTTTTTTTTTCAGTAGCAGTCTTGCACTGGGAATCAAGACTGCCCTTGTTTAACTGTGGACAGCTCTTGCCTTGTGTAACTGTGGACAACTCTTGAAGGATATTGGTTTTATTACTAAAGGAGTGAGTATCTAGAACCTTACAAGTCTGTAATATAAAGTCAACACTAGAAACAGGCCCATTCTGTATAGAGAACTAAAGACCCTTTGCTTTACTGTTGTCTTCAGGGGCAAACTTGTAACACAATTTGGAACTTAAGATTGTCAATAATACAAGATATGCATGTATTTTATTTATAAAGAATACATGGCTGGCCCTGGCTGGTGTAGCTCAGTGGATTGAGCGTTGGCCTGTGAACCAAAAGATTGTGGTTCACTTCCCATTCAGGGCACATGCATGGGTTGCAAGCCAGTTCTAGCAGGAGCCAGTTCCCAGCAAGGGACACATGAGAGGCAACCATACACTGATATTTCTCTCCCTCTCTCCTTCCCTTCCCTTCTAAAGATAAATAAATAAAGTATAAAATTTTTTTAAAATTATTAAAAAAAAAGAATATATGGCTGCCCTAATGGTTTTGTCCAAATATGGAATAGGAAGACTGGGATGTTTAAGTCAAAGGAAGCATTCACTGAAACAGCAGAAGGAAAGGAGAAAGTTAGACTGATGGTTTATTTCAGCACTGGAGAATATACAACCTTTTGGCTGGGTAATAATATTAAAATGTAGTCTTTAGATCCTATGAAGAAAAACAAAATTATCTGCATTTAACTTTCCAAAATAATACTTTTTTGTTTATTAAAAGATTATCCTCCAGAGACGCTGAAGAGCTGAAGATGTTCCTGGATAGAGTCCGCCAAAAAAAATATTCAACCACCCACAAAGCCTGGTAGGGATAAAGGTGTCTTTAACAGCACAAAAACACAGAAGGAGATCAACAAAAAATTATTTAATGAGATGTATGAGAAGTCAAGAAGTGGAGTTTTTGACATAGGAGAAGAAAGTAGAACACCTGACCTTCAGAAGATGCCTTTGTATACATCAGAGATATCAACACTTACCTGTAAAGAGTTAGTAGAAAAGGGATGGGGGAAGAGAAAAAGGATGGTATCATCCAATTTAGAGGTATATGAGAAATTGCAGGAGGATAATAAATCTGTAAGAGAAAAGAAATTCAAGACAAATCCCTTGAAGAACAGAAGACACTATGAGAAGAAAAAAATGTCATTAAAAGAGTTAAAAGAAAGTAACAAATTAACTTTGAGACTTTTACTCAAGACCTGTTCTACTGGAAATCCTTACCTATATGGCACTTGTCTTCTCCAAACTCTTTCTGAGAAGATATATTTGGCACTTCTATTGGAACCATTGTATAGTGAGGATGACCCAGAGTGGGACAGAATCAAAATGACCTTTGACTTTTATCCAGAGAAACTCTGTCAAGGCCTGCCCAACTTGGGAAACACCTGTTATATGAATGCAGTTTTACAGGCTCTATTTTCGATTCCACCCTTTGCTTATGATTTACTCTATCAGAGTTTCCCATGGAGCAAAATTCCGTTTGATGCTCTTAGCACGTGCCTGTCACAACTTCTTGTTCTGAAAGATATTTATAGCATAAAAATCAAGAAGAAGTTACTTGTCAGTATTAAAAATGCCATTTCAACAGTAGCAGAGATATTCTCTGACAACTCACAGAATGATGCTCATGAGTTTTTAGGTCACTGTTTAGATCAGATGAAAGAGAACATGGAAAAATTAAACAAAATTTGGAAGACTAAAATTGAATCTGAGGAAGAAGATTCATCTCAACAGGCTTCTGCTGACAGCGCTGTCATCAAAATGCTTGTTTGTCCTATCATCACTAATTTTGAGGTTGAGTTGCTGCGTTCTGTTATTTGTGAAGCCTGTGGTCAGGTTGTTCTCAAGGCAGAAGTGAGTAATTATCTATCCATCAATCTTCCCCAAGGAAGAAAAACATATCCTTTGTCTATTCAATCTACTTTAGATGTTTTTTTTGGAGCAGAAGAGCTTGAGTATAAATGTGGGAAGTGTAACCACAACAGATCTGTTGGAGTGCACAAATTCAATAGGTTACCCAGGGTCCTCATTGTTCATCTGAAACGTTATAGCTTTCACCGGTCTAGGTCATTAAGGAAGGATGGCCAGCAAGTCATCATTTCTAAATATTTAAAGTTATCTTCTCATTGCAATGAAAGTACCCAGCCACCTCTTCCCTTGGACAAGAATGCACATATTAAGGATTTCCAATTTTTAAATTTTTTTCAAAAGATGAATTCTGACATCTTTAGGTCATTGACATCTTCAACAAAGTTGACCTCAAAATGCGAAGATTGTCTGGCTCTACACGTGGAGTCAGAGAACGAGTCTGAACCACAAAAGTGCCATATTTTTGGGTCAAGCAAAGAACAGCAACAAAATGACCTGGGAAAATATTCTAAACACAGTATAACAGAACCCATATCAGCAAACTCAGGTTATGGCACAGCAATTGAACAAAAGCCTTTAGTACCAGGATTAGTGAGGTATCTAGAAGATGTCAACATTTCTGTGATCTGTGAAGATAAAGGTAAACCCACCAGTGGCTCAGACACATGTCTTGCAGAAGTTCATCTTCAAAAAGTGTCTAGAAATCCAAACCTAGAGAAATATGAGAAAACCAATGTGTTTGCCACTGTTGATAGTGTCACTGAGACTACTAAAGATTTTTATGAGGATAAAAAATCCAGTATTTCAAAAAAGTTCTCAAATGTAGCTGGACAGATCCAGCAGCATGAAAAGATGAGAATCTATGAACAGCCCCTTCAGGAGGAATCGCTTCACAGCCATCAGGAGCCAGATGCCCAGTGGTACACAAAGAACCTTAGAAGACCTCCAGAATTAAGTCTCCAAGAGGCCAATGTGAATTCCTTAGGTGCATCGGGTTTCAATAAAAACCTTGGGCACAAAGACTTTTTACCTAAGAAGAAAAATGCTGAAGCCAATAAACAAAAAAGAAATTCCAAGATGAGAGATCGATATGCCTATCAGCTGATTGGTGTTGTCAGCCATCTTGGGAATAGCCTACATTCAGGCCATTATATTAGTGATGCCTTTGACTTCGAGAGGCAGGCCTGGTTTACTTACAATGATATGCAAGTATCAAGTATCCAGGAAGCTCTGATGCTGAAGGCTAGGCTTCATACTGGATACATCTTCTTTTACATGCACAATGATATCTTTAAAGAGCTGATAGAAAGGGAAGGCAGCTCCCAGCCTCATAGCAAAAGGGCAGGGAAAAAACATTGGAAGAAATAAGAGGAACCTAGTTGCCCAGATCTGCTTGACTGCCTCACTAGCTATCACTTCTTCCATGGGAGGAAAACTCTGAACTTTAGCCAAAGATGAGGAGGCAATTAGCATCCAGGAACTAAGTTCAAGTAGAAACACTTATAGGGAAACGTCTGTTCTAGCCCTGATACAGTCACCTCAATCCCATAGTTGTGCCTAATAAGCATTCTTCTCTGTTATTAAACTAGAATTGTGCTTTCCATATTCTAATGCAGTGGATTCCAAGTACAGCCCTTGAACTAGCAGCATCAAAAGCATGGAGGAACTTGTTAAAATGCAAATTCTTGGATTTTACTACAAACCTACATATTCAGAAACTCTGGGTGGGTAGGTAACATCTTGGTTCTGATGCTTGAGAAAGTAGGGTAACCACTGCTGTAGTGTGTAGGGTATGTTGGTGTGCTTTGCTATTATATATTTGAAATGTTTATATTTTGTAGTGGGGTTTGATTACATTTTTTCTTATGTTTGCTTATGTCTTTCCTTTGTAAACTTGTTACTATCAAAACACACAAATTATTTTTCTGCTGATCATACACAGCAATTTGTTGAAAAAATAGTTTCTGGAGTCATGGAAAAACAAAACAAAAGAGTTGTGAAGGTCCTGTCAATAAAAAAAAAGTTGCTGGGATCCAGGAAATAAATAGGAAATAAAGATGGAAACTTAGAAATCCTCTTGAGCATATAGAGATGAGACTGAACACTAGACCAAGTCTTCAAATTGTTTGCTAAAGTCCTCCTTTTCCTAAAAAGAGGCTATATACCATCAAGCTTAAACCTTGAAGATAAAGAAGTTTATTTGCCCTAAAGAAATTGAGCCACTTTTTGTTATTTGTCAGCTAGCAAGCTGTTCTTGGTGAGCTGAGCCCATTTTGCCATTTTGGTCTTCTTGGAAGGATGCTTGCATTGCCTTAAAGGAACATTGATGACTAGAACTTTATCTGAAGCCTTGAAAAATCATTTGCATTCAGCACTATAAGACTAATTCCATATTAATCTCGCTTCTCTGTACTTTATAGCATGGTGGCCTTATACCTTCAATAAGTAAGCAATACATGCTTTAAAGTGGATTTGTAGGATTTGAACATTTTACTTATTACTTATTTCATACAGTGTCAAAAATTTGTGCCTGAATATGATTTGATTCTGAGTAAGAGCCTCATGGATCCTGGGTTGGTAATATTCTGTTAGAGCTCCCTGTGATTCAGGGATTTAGTTATCATAATATTAAGCATGTACCATCTCTGTAACCTAGCTTTTTCCTGCCTTTCAGGCAGTGAATCTGTAACACCTTGTTCCTTGTTATGAACAAGCTGATTGTACCAAGAGGCTATCTCACATCACACTAAGGAATTTAATTTTGGTCTTTCCTTTACCAACATGGGTATCCCCCACCTTGTATATGGGGTATGGTCTTTATTAATCCAAGAGCTTGTTGATTCTCTTAATCCAAAAGACCTTTAAAGGAAGGAAGTGGAATTTAGTGGTGTGAGAAAGTTATAAAATGCCCTCTGGAGGGAAAACCAGATTCTAAAGTTTTGGAATTGTATATAGATCTGAATGGGAGGTGAAGATTGTTGAGGCAAGTAGTATGGATCTCCTAGATTGAATTAATCACTCTCATGGAAGAAAGTGCTACAGACCTAAAAATGAGAGATTTGTTTAACTTGTGCAGTACTTCAACTGCTGAACTGGTTGAAGGGTAAGGCTGAAGTTACATTTAGAGGAAGGAAGTGACAGTTTTATTTCCCAGTTTTATGCTTTTTACTTCTCTAGAATAGTTAAAACTGAGCCCAGTTACATTGGCATCACAGCAGGAGCTTTGGTAAGAGTGAGATAGAAGCCATTTTGTTTTGAAAGGAGAATGATGATGCCAATAGTTTTAAGACATTTTAAAAATTGGGGTGTAGCATATAGAGTACTACACACTCTTTTTTTTGCACTACACATTCTGAACATGCTGCTCTTCAGCTTTTAGCACTTGCAAATGTAGGGAAAATTGAAAGGTGAAGAAAATGGTTGGGTTATCCATAAGAGGGAGGGTCTGTCCTGGACAGATGGCTTGGATGGAATCCATCATTGCCCTGTGAGAAGAAATTCTGACTGCATGATGAGTGGCTATATACTATCTACCTGTTATACTGTTATTTAAAATAAAATGTTAATTCTTCAGTGACTCAGTGGCTGTTAGTTATTATGGATTTTAATTGGTTCTCTAACTTACAGAAGATATTTTTCGGTAATCCATGGCTATAAAAACTTTCTTTGACACCCAGTGTATTAGTTTTCTATTGCTTCTGTAACAAAACCCACAAACTTAATGGCTTAAAACAACATAAATTTATCTTCTTACATTTCTAGAGGTCAAGAATTTAAGATGGGTGTCACTGGGTTAAAATGAAGACATTAGCAGGGTTACAACACTTCTGGATTGTCTAAGGAAACAATCTATTTTCCTCACCTTTCCCAGCTTGTAGAAACTGCACTCATTTATGGCTTCATACCTCCACCTTCAAAGCCAGTAATGTCAGGATCAGCCCTCACACTGCCATCTTTGGTTCTCCCTCTTCTGCTTTCTGCTTCCACCTTTAAGAACCACATTGAGAACTGGTTCACCTACATAATCTAAGATAATCTTTCTATTTTAAGATTAGTAGATTAGCACCTTTAACTCCTATTTGTCTTGTACTATTATGAGGGGGAACCCAAAACAACCCAGAATTTATAAAGAATTGTGTATTTATTGTTATACATTTAAACTTCAGTCACTTTCAAAGTTTTCTCCATTTGATGCAAAACACCTGTTCAGATGTATTTTTCACTGTTCAAAACAATTTTTGAACTGGTCAATTTTGGTGCCTTCTGGTGCTTCTGCCATTGTTTGATTCACCTCTAGCATATTGGTAAAATGTTTTCCTTTGAGGACTTTTTTAATCCAGGGAAACAACAACAAAAAAGTCACTCAGGGCCAGATTGGGTAAATAGGGAGTGTGGGGCATGTGGGTCATGCCATTTTTGGTCAAAAACTGCTGAGCATCCAGCAGTGTGGGCAGTTGTTACAAAATGGGTAAATGTGTTGAAAGAGCCTTCAGAAAAATTCACTGAGGCTAAACACAGCCTCTCACTACAACCCCAGCTGGTACACTGATACAGAGGGGTTTGTAGAACACTCATCTAGTGGGGGAACTACAGTCACCTAGCTGGTACTAAAAGGGGCCTGCCCTTCAGAAGATAATTTCAGGGTTTTGGGGGATTCCTTCATATATTAAATAAATATGAAGATATGGACATCTCTGTAGTACCCACATTATACCTACTACACAATAATAAAAGTTAATGGAGAATTATCATGACAATAATAAAAAGCAGAATGATTTAGCACCCAGACCCTTGGGAAATGGTTTTCAGCACTCCACCAGGTAAAGAATCCAGAGCATCTGAGGTTTTATCCAAGGGTGAGGGCAGTTGTAATTGGTAACTGAACAGCTAAGAACTAGAAACAATAACTATGGTAGCTTTGCATATTTTCTTTATGTTTAGTATATGCTACTGTGTATTTGTAGATACACACCATTCTCTTTTTCTCTGTCCTTCCTATTTGTTATTCTATGCACAAGTTATTGGGGGTTAATTTTATAATTTAACCTTTAGGTAATTGAATAATCAATCAATGCCTGACTGAATTTGAGGAATAATTAATAGAACCCATGATGAATGCAATGACTTGAGATTCTGAATTATCTAATTTGGGGAGAATGGTGAGACATCTAAAAGGATTGGTGTATCTATTAGGTAGAAGTACAGAATTGTCTTTCGCTGTAAGAGAGTTCAAATGTATGTAGACAGGTGCATATGAAAGCAAAGCAACCAGAGGGATGGGCTATGACAATTATCAATGTATTGCCTGCCAGCTCCAAATTGACCCTTCAGCTATGTTCTGTGTAATGGGCAGAATTTCTCTACACATATCTCATTTACAGTAAACACATGTTGAGCTTTTTCAGTGTGATGTGTGAGAAGTGCATTGCAAGTATAAGAAAGGGGCTATCTACTGTTTCCAGTTGTTGACATGGGTTAGCAGTATGATGTGACTATATTTGGTGGTGCACTAACCCAGCCACAAAACCAGAATGTGTGCTCCCTGATGACCTTCACAGCTCCAGCCTGGCCTGTGGGTGATTTCCTGCTGTTATTTCAACCTGAACACCACAAACTATAGAACTGTAGCCTGATTGTGTGCCCTCCCCAGGTTTGTATTCCATGGCCCTTCTACTGCCCAGTCCTCCACATTCTAGGCCTCCTGTCACATCAGTATTCTCAGTCCCTCTGCATAATTGCATACCTGGTCATTGGCTGTAGCCATACTTGTGTCCTAGATGGTTACCAATGGGGACACCACTTCTTCTGTATGCCCATACACTGACTGATGCTTCTTTGCATCCCAACTGCATTCCACCTGTATTCCAGATGGTTGCTTACTGATTTCCCAATGACTACAGACCATGTCTGGCTCAGGCCAACCATCAAACTTCTCTGCCATCCAGCAGGATGCAACTACATCTTTAATAAGATCTGAAGCCTAGCCCTGGAGATCTGGACCCCTCTCAAAATTTGTTATTTCTTAAATATTCTCCCTCAACTCTAGGATAAAATATAGATTTTTCTTATATCCTATAGTTATTTTTATCACAGGTGAATAATTCTTTGTATTAAATTTCTGTTTAAAGCCCTGGCTGGTGTGGCTCAGTGGATAGAGCGAGGGCCTGCGAATCAAAGGATCGCGGTTGATTCCCAGTCAGGGCACATCCCTGGGTTGCAGACTGCTTCCCTGCAGGCCAGTTTCCAGCAGGGGATGCACAAAAGGCAACCATACATTAATGTTTCTCTCCCTCTCTCCTTCCCCTCTATAAATAAATAAATAAATAAATAAATAAATAAATAAATAAATAAATAAATAAATAAAATCT